GTATGCACCGTCTTTACGTACACGTATCTTTATATACGGCACTGGCAAAGTGGTAACGACCTTTTGTAGGCCGCGTGGAAATGCTTAGCCTTTAACCCGAGCATTTAAAACGATCAAGGGGCGGATGAGTCTTTCTGTCTGTCAATGCCTCGCGATAAGAGAGAAAAATTGTGAGCTTCGGGAGGAAAGCAAGAAAATTACCACAGTTATTTGCTTCTGCTAGTTGAAAATACGTCAGATAGATATCTTCTTCTTCTCGAAATTTCAAGATCGAAAAGAGATTCGAAAGTGTTCCCCTTGCAACTACGTTCAATCGGTGTTATCTTTTTCCTCTACAATACAACGAGACGCAAATCCTCGCTACGTGATGTTTGTTAACGTTTCCAACGGTCCGCGGCTAGGTTCGCGACTCCGTCGCCTCAACCGCAGTCCGCGACGACCAATTACGTGCCGTTAGAACACGAATCGGAATGGGTGCTTGCCGTTGTTCTTTTCACATTTTTAGAAAGCGGTTGGAAAGTGAGAAACCGTGTACTTTCTAACTAAACTATTATAAATACAGATTAAACCGCCTCTATCTAACGAAATATTAACCAAAATATGCCTCCGTGGTATATTCACGGCTCATTTACCGTCGGTAAGAATTTCGCGCAGCCGCTGGTTCATTTCCGCTTTCGATTACCGACGCAGAAGGGCACGTATCGATCGACTCACGTTGCCTCATCGATCTTTCTAACAAAATTACGCGAAGCCTCGTTATCGTCGGTTATCTTCGGTATTGAAATCGACGCCACCCGACTGTAAACGAATTCTCGGTCCGCGTCCGTGAACCATTCTACCCAGTGAACTCCTTAGCAATGTTGGAGAGGAGAAAAGACGGGCCCTCCCAGTTGCATACTCTCGCGTGCACTTTTGCTCGGTCTGTCTCGTCTCTTCGACACGCATCACTTTCGCCGTGTGCATCCTGCGTAACCGACAAAAAGTGGATTTTCACGTAGAATCGTTGTTGGCGTCGTTAGTCTCGCGATATATCGACCGGAGATATCGACAGATTCCCACGTTTTTCGAGGTTAATTCGTTAGATGGGTAGATAGGAAGAATGAAGTTGTAGAACTAGGAGAAAGAACATTGTAACACGACGCAATAACGGAAAAGTATACTTAGGTGAAATCGCGGTGTCATTAGTTTGCATAATTACTCAGTCATTTAGATATCGACGAGTAATCTCGAACAGTCACGTACTTCAAAATATAATCGTCACTGTTAGATTAAATTTTCGTAAAACTCATTAGTTTCGATAAAAAAAAAACGAGATATCGATGACGCGAAAAAATTCGTTGGGATAACACACGCGTGACAGGGGAACGACGTTCCTTTACCCCCTGTTGCATCCAGCTGCACGAACGACTCCGCTGCACTTGTCGCTACCCTCGTTCCCTTGACCCTCTCCAAACACATAAATTCTCCTCTCCCCGTCGCTGGCTGTCTCTCTTCCCCCTTGGTCCGTCTGTTTCCGTCTACTCGACACTCTCTCGGGTTAGGGCCCCACGGAAATAGATTCGAGACCCGGCGTCGACTCTCTTCCCTTTCTCTCTCCCCTCGGTCTGTGCCTGGCTGTGTTGGTCGAAGAAAAACAGGTGCAGCGAATCGATATCCGACCGTATTGCCATCGATGCATCTTCCTACTTGACTCTCGAACGCGACTTGCTTCAAATTTACTTCCCTCTATTCTCTATTCCGATCTTCCAACGACTTTCGACGTTTGTGCCTCGCGTTCGATAGGTTATGTGCGCATATCGATACGATACGTTTTTCAATCACTTTGAAAAGAAGAAGCGTGTGCATTCTAACCTGTACATTCGATCGAGAAACGAGTCTGAAGAAACGCGAACAACTGAAATTGTGGAAAATTGACCGGTGAATAGTGAAGTTAAGCGGAATCGCGTGTAACCAGTACTCGGAGGGATCTCGGATCGTTGGGTAATCAGCTTCCTCGTATTGCCACACGGTGCCACAGCGCGCGCACTGTCTTCCGTCTTCGTTTCACCTTACGCAAACGCCATCTATTTCTCTCGCTCGCGCACTCCTTCTTTCCAGTCCGATAGCAACGTTTGAAAGTGAAGTCAAGATGGCCACTTAAAAGACATCGAAGCGTTTCAATGCGTACACGTGTATGCTTACGCACCCATACACCCACCGACGCGTGTGTACCGGCGTTTTCACGTTCTCGCGCTCGCGCCCGGTGATAGTGCAGCCACGTAACGAGAGTGTTGACATTTTCTGCAATCGGGTCAGGGCCCCCTGTCGCGAACACTCCGGCATTACCTATAACCCCTCCCGAGGCGATACTCGCGCGCCACCGTGCTCAATCGAGACGCGTCGAGAATTCGCGATCCTTGGCGGAAATCGATTCTACGGTTATGGCGCCTTAAACGCCTCGAAAGCGCGGGAAATGCCGGATCGTGTATATTTTTATTTCGGAAGATACGGAACACCACACTCGAGATAATATAACCCTCCTGTACCAGCAAATTTGACGGACACAGTTTTGAGGTTACGTTCGATCTTTTTGCGTCGCAACTTCTATTTATCGATATTCGATCGAGACACGTGAAGTTATAGGTTAGTTTATCTGTCACGTTGCAATATTCTCTCGTGATTGTAAACCAGCGTCGATTATATTTTTCTAGCACTTGGAAAATCAGAGAATTATGATGTGCAGAGATGAAAGCGCGGTTTCCTCTCCTTTTAAAGGAGGAATACCTTGAGCAATCGGGAGTCGATTTTAGGGCAGCGATCGAGTCGCCAGTACGGTGACTCGTTGCACGGCGAACGGGTCTAGCCGGTGAGTCACCATGTAGCTGCTTTTCCTCGCGAAAGGACTAAATTGACGCGTAAATACGTAACGAGACGGGAGAGAGACGAGCACGAAGCTTCTTCTTCTCCCCTTTCGAAACAGCCTCTTTTTTTTTTTCTAACTTTCACGAGCGAATCGGTTTCGCCCATGTAGATCATCGTGGAAAGTAAACATCAAGCTCCTTCACCGTGGAAGAAACGTCGGTTCTTTAGTCGTCGACGAGGACGAAGCCAACGACGGCAACGATAATGGAGGAGAGACAAAAAAATGTGTTTTCGAAAGCAGACACGGAAATCTGGGGAGAAACTCACGGACGATTCCCTTCCGATTTCTCCACCGTAAAAATCTCAGATAATATTTACTCGAGAATTTGCCTGTTTCTGCGCGGTACTCCTTGTCACGGCAGTTCGCTAATTTTTTTTCAGCGTGTCGGCTTGAAAATTCGAGATCGGCGAACCATCGCGAGACTGGACCGCGGGAAACGGATTCCGAGAACCACCTGTTGGAAATCTACCGCGTGCAAACATGTTTTCCTCCAACTATCGCTTCGCGAGCGAGGCTTCGAAATTTTCATTCCTTGGGATTTTAAAATTACGACGGACAAATTGAACGAATGAAATTCACACCGTTGAAAATTTTAATTCAGCCAATGACATTAAAGTAAGCACCATTTGAATTCGAACTATTAAAATTTGAATTCACCAAGAGTCTTTAATAATTTAACTCTTTCTCAATGATCTACACACTTTTAACATATAGTATTGTTTTCAGAGAGTCATTTTGAAACGCTGAACGTGTTCAAATCCGTCGTTTCACCGTTTCGACAACTTCACCATTATTTCAATCTTTTTCAAAAGAGACTAATAAACGTCTCGTCGAAAAAATTCGTCATTTCTCCAGTTAAAATCTCAGAGACACGTTAATCACCTTCGATCACATACACGCACACGTGAAGAGTCGTAAAGTGTCGAAGAAGCGACATGTGTGGAGGGTTCTCGAAGTTGAAACAAGCCTCGAGTCTCGTATATAAACAGACGATAATCCCCGTCGTGTTCCCATGAGCTGCGTTCAAATCTCCGGGGTCGTTCGGGGTCGTTAAGTCGAGGGCTCGAGACAGGTGTCGGCTTTAGAATCGGTCCAGAAGGGTTGACAAAAAAATTCCAAGCCATAACACACGCACACAGACATGCGGAAACGAGCCGCGTAGTTAGGGTAGTTAGCTGTGGTATTAACGTGGAACACGTGCATCCTAGGCTTCTCTCTACGCGAGTCTTGTGTTTACATTGAAGACTTCCTCGACGAGACTTCCCTTTGAGGGAGGGCCCTTTTTCCGACGAACAATCTCCCGCGGCTTCCACCAGATTCTCGAAATCGTACTAGCTGGAACTCGCGCCCTC